AAAAAAAAAAAAAACAGCAACTACCGCCCTTTTGCCGCCACCTCCTCCCTCCTCCTCCCTCCTCCTCCCTGCTCCTCCTTTAGAGTCCTCCTCCTCCTCCTCCTCCTCTTTCTCCTCCTTCTCCTCCTCCTCTTCTTCGCCGGCTTCCTCGTCGACTTCGGCCTTTTCCTCCTAGTCCTCCTCTCTCCTCCTCCTGCTCTTCCTCCTCCTCCTCCTCCTCCTCCTCCTCCTCCTCCTCCTCTTCCTCATCTTCCTCCTCCTTCCCCTCCTCCTCCTCCCCCTTCTCCTCGTCCTCCTCCTCTTCCTCCTCTTCCTCGCCAGCGTTTCCGGTTTGAATCAGCGCAACTACGGACCATGAAAGTCACAAGAGAAACTTCAAACGCACTTTTTTCGTTTTTTTTTCAAGCGGCGGAATCAATCCATCAATAACAAAAAAAAACAATTAATTTATGGACGATCGAATCGATTGTTCCGATTGGATCTTTAATTCAAGACCCGATCGAATCGATCGATTCGATTGGATTGTCCGAGCCAATCAATCAACCACATTCAATCCATGAATCAATCAATCAATCAATCAATCAAGAAAAAAACAAAAAAAAGTAACTAATCGATTTCCTTATTGCCTGTCAACCGATCCGATCCGATCTTGATTTCAAAACAGCCGCCGCGTTAGGGAGGGCAAGTTCGAAAAGGCACAAAAAAAAAAAAAAAAAACAGCAACAACCGCCCTTTTGCCGCCACCTCATCCCTCCTCCTCCCTCCTCCTCCCTGCTCCTTCTCCTCCTCCTCCTCCTCCCTCCTCCTCCCTGCTCCTTCTCCTCCTCCTCCCCCTCTTTCTCCTCCTCCTCCTCCTCTTCTTCGCCGGCTTCCTCGCCGGCTTCGGTCTTTTCCTCCTAGTCCTCCTCCCTCCTCGTCCTCCAGCAACTAGTCTTCCTCCTCCTCCTCCTCCTCCTCCTTCTCCTCCTTCTCCTCCTACTCCTCCCCCTTCCCCTCCTCCTCCTCTTCCTCCTCTTCCTCGCCAGCGTTTCTGGTTTAAATCAGCGCAACTACGGACCATGAAAGTCACAAGAGAAACTCCAAACGCACTTTTTTCGTTTTTTTTTTCAAGCGGTGGAATCAATCCATCAATAACAAAAAAACAATTCATTTATGGACGATCGAATCGATTGTTCCGATTGGATCGTTAATTTAAGATCCGATCGAATCGATCGATTCAATTAGATTGTTCGAGCCAATCAATCAATCAATCGATCAATCAATCAATCAATCAATCAATCAATCAATCAATCAATCAAAAAAAAAAGAAAAAAAAAAGTAACTAATCGATTTCGTTATTGCCTATCAATCGATCCGATCCGATCTTGATTTCAAAACATCCGCCGCGTCAGGAAGGGAAAGTTCGAAAAGGCACACACAAAAAAAAAAACCAGCAACTACCGCCCTTTTGCCGCCACCTCATCCCTACTCCTCCCTCCTCCTCCTCCTCCTCCTCCTCCTCCTCCTCCTCTTTCTCCTCCTCCTCCTCTTCTTCGCCGGCTCTGGCCTTTTCCTCCTCGTCCTCCTCCCTCCTCCTCCTCATCCTCTTCCTCCTACTTCTCGTCCTCCTCCTCCCCCTTCTCCTCCTCCTCCTCCTCTTCCTACTCTTCCTCGCCAGCGTTCCCGGTTTGAATCAGCACAACTACGAACCATGAAAGTCACAAGAGAAACTCCAAACGTACTTTTTTCGTTTTTTTTTCAAGCGGCGGAATCAATCCATCAATGAGAAAAAAACAATTCATTTATGGACGATCGAATTGATTGTTCCGATTGGATCTTTAATTCAAGATCCGATCGAATCGATCGATCCGATTGGATTGTCCGAGCCAATCAATCAATCAATAAATCAACAAAAAAAACAAAAAAAAAGTAACTAATCGATTTCGTTATTGCCTATCAATTGATCCGATCCGATCTTTATTTCAAAACAGCAGCCGCGTCAGGGAGGGCAAGTTCGAAAAGGCCCAAAAAAAACAAAAACCAGCAACTACCGCCCTTTTGCCGCCACCTCCTCCCTCCTCCTCCCTCCTCCTCGCTCCTCCTCCCTCCTCCTCCCTGCTCCTCCTCCTCCTCCTCCTCTTTCTCCTCCTCCTCCTCCTCCTCTTTCTCCTCGTCCTCCTCTTCTTCTCCGGCTTCCTTGCCGGCTTCGGCCTTTTCCTCCTAGTCCTCCTCCCCCCTCCTCCTCCTCCTCTTCCTCCTCCTCCTCCTCCTCCTCCTCCTCTTCCTCCCCCTTCTCCTCCTCCTCCTTCTCCCCCTTCTCCTCCTCCTCCTCCTCTTCCTACTCTTCCTCGCCAGCGTTTACGGTTTGCATCAGCGCAACTACGGACCATGAAAGTCACACGAGAAACTCCAAACGCACTTTTTTCGTTTTTTTTTTCAAGCCGCAGAATCAATCCATCAATATCAAAAAAACAATTCATTTATGGACAATCGAATCGATTGTTCCGATTGGATCCTTAATTCAAGATCCGATCGAATCGATCGATTCGATTGGATTGTCCGAGTCAATCAATCAATCAATTAGTCAATCAATCAATCAATCAATCAATCAATCAATCAATCAATTAATCAATCAATCAATCAATCAATCAATCAATCAACAAAAAAAACAAAAAAAAAAGTAACTAATCGATTTCGTTATTGCCTATCAACCGATCCGATCTGATGTTGATTTCAAAACAGCCGCCGCGTCAGGGAGGGCAAGTTCGAAAAGGCATAGAAAAAAAAACAAAAAAAAACAGCACCTACCGCCCTTTTGCCGCCACCTCCTCCCTCCTCCTCCCTTCTCCTCCCTGCTCCTCCACCTCCTCCTCCTCTTTCTCCTCCTCCTCCTCCTCTTTCTCCTCCTCCTCCTTCTCTTCTTCGTCGGCTTCCTCCCTGGCTTTGGCCTTTTCCTCCTAGTCCTCCCTCCTCCTCCTCCTCCTCCTTCTCCTCCTCCAGCAACTAGTCTTCCTCCTCCTCCTCCTCCCCCTCCTCCTTCTCCTCCTCCTCCTCCCCCTTCCCCTCCTCCTCCTCTTCCTCCTTTTCCTCCCCAGCGTTTCCGGTTTGAATCAGCGCAACTACGGACCATGAAAGTCACAAGAGAAACTCCAAATGCACTTTTTTCGTTTTTTTTTTTCAAGCGGCGGAATCAATCCATCAATAACAAAAAAACAATTCATTTATGGACGATCGAATCGGTTGTTCCGGTTGGATCTTTAATTCAAGATCCGATCGAATCGATCAATCAATCAATCAATCAATCAATCAATAAATCAATCAACAAAAAACCAAAAAAAAGTAACTAATCGATTTTGTTATTGGCTATCAATCGATCCAATCCGATCTTGATTTAAAAACAGCCGCCGCGTCAGGGAGGGCAATTTCGAAAAGGCAAAAAAAAAAAAAAAAACA